AAAGGGGGTGAAACTTGGTCAGATGGATACGGAGTGAGCGCCGAGCGTGCGATTAATAAACGTTAACGTCGCTTTTTTTCTTTCGTTTCCCTTCTTTTAATTTTGTTTGTCGGACCTTTGGGCGTGTAGACATCGCGAGGGAATTTCGGTGTCTCTTTTTGAATTCCCTTTTTGAATTTTCTTTTCGAATCTTGGTCGGAGCCATACGGCCTTCAGAATTTTGATTTTCTTTTCGGACCTTTTCATAATGTCGGCAGGCTACCTAGGAATTTTGGAATTTTGGAATTTCTATTTTTTCTTGGACGTTGCTTTGCGTTTTCGCGCGCTATTTCTTGCTGCTGCGCCAGGACCTTGATTGATTGGCGCCTTAATCCTTTTGCAACTGTAATTTTGGGCGCACACTTTTGTAACTGTATCTTTCTGTTTCTTGCTCCTTATTCTTCCCGCCTCATTTCTTCCTCTCTCCCCTCCCTATCTGGGTAGTTGCGTTTGCATGTTCGGATCGATGCGTGGAGTTGGGTACGTCCCCCACGCCGCGGCCTGACCACGCAAACGTAAGCACTCCCTTTCACCCATCTATCTACGTCCTTGTAATTCCGTGTTCTTCGCGCATGCATGCACGCTATAAATTCCGGCTGCGCGATGAACTTGCTCTCTTAACAGTTGCTGGAAGCTCGGGGTTGCGCGATCGAGAGGGTCGACACACAAGTGAAGTAAGAGGTGAGTGAAGCGGGAGTCGGGCGACCCGACGAGCTGGTGCCGAATGCGCAGGGTTGACGCGGGCCACGACGGACTGTGGGCGCGGAGCGAACTTGACGGGCGCAGGAGGACCAAGCGGGGTGACGGCTTCGTGTGTTGATGAGCGACGACGGACTGTCGGCATCAGAGAGAGAAAGAGAGAGAGGAGAGATTTGAGGTTGAGGATGGACATGGATTTGCGCGCTTCTTTTCGTTCTCTTTTTTATCTGTGCATATAAATTTAAGTGTCGATTAGGGGCAATTCGCCCTTGTCTTTGCRGCCATATACTCGTCCTGTTGTTCGATTTGGTTCTTCATCGATGTTTTCTCCTTTTTCTTTCCTTYTCMRGAATCCTCTTTTGCAAATGATGTATGGATGRTTCGCGCACCCTCGCCTTTCRTTTTTKATCGTTTCCTGCGAACCCTCGTACATGRTGAATGRAAATGGGGATTGCATGTTGGCGTGATCAACAGAGTGTGTTGGCTTGTCGTWCCTTACGGRGAGTCTGGWGCGCACCATCCGACGTACCATATGGGCACATGCAAGTGCGATCCGGACGGAGTGCGGCTTACATGTGTCCATACCACTCGGACTCGCCAATCGCGTCTTGGCTAACGCACGTAGCCAGCCCCTCGCTGAAGTAGGAGTCGATGTCAATCGAGATCGGGTTACCCATCACGCGTAAGTGCGCGTAAGTACGACTTGTTCGCATCTCTCTTACGCACTTACGAGCGGTGATCTCCTCGATTAATTTATCCCCCAAGGCGTGAGTGATGAAAGAATGACGAGCTCGCGGAGTTCCGACGTATCTTGGAATTCCGAGGATTACGAGTCGTATTTTGGGTACCGGGAAATCTGGGAAGAAGAGCAACTTCGATTACGGGGAAGTTTGAGGAACCCGGTGTTCCCTTGCCTCACAGAAAACGATAGATTCTGCGCTAGGGAATTCCATCTCGCCRKAYGAAGYGACCCGCGGGGACCCGACTACCCAAACACGTACAACACGCAGTATTTCATAACCCCCGGCTTCGTCCTTATCACCACTAATTTCCCACCATACCACCTCCTCCTCCCCTATCATCAGCTTACAGTAGTACCGTGGAATTCCATAGCACCTTATTGGCCCTCYACCCCGTGCAGAAGYTGCAGGCGGCGTGCCCATACCYGAACSCCYGAAGCCTCGGCACCTCGGCATAGTCCCCACCAGCYCACGCCACGTGGCGGGCCCCGAAGGCGTAGGCTCCAAGGACCGCCTCAACAGGCTCCCTAGAACTGGCGATCGCGTCAGGATCGGACGGCCTCGCACAACCAGCGTGCAAGCCCGCGCCCGTAAATTTCCCCATTGCTCTATTGCATCTATGCCCCTGAACCTTGCCCCTGGAGATCTCAGTTCCGACCTGGGACTCCACCCCCACTTTCCAAAAATCCTTGGCACACCCCTTTTCGCACTTCCAGGCCCACATCCCACTCCGATCAGGAAGGCACGCCGGGCGTGAGGTTAGTATCAGAGCCCGACACGTGGCTAAGCGATAGGGTCTGTAGACTCAATACTAGCTAAGGCGAGGCGATCTGGCTCCACGTAGGCGCCCTTCAGCTGGTGATACACGCCGACGTAGTCCTATAAATACACGAAGCCGAACATCCACCACAAGGCGAACAGGCGCCATGGCTGCGGCCGCTGCGGCAGTCATCCCCAATCAACCGCCCAACCCGCCTGCGCGAGCCCCGGTGGCTCCACCAGATCTTTATTTATTTAACCCAGCACACGATCTCGTCGGAGCATGGTTGGCCACGCTCCGAGTTTAGCGGTATACGAACGATGAAGCTCAGATCAACATCCCCGCGCGGATGGGGGGGGACGCCCATCATTGGTATATGTATGGGTGGATCTTCCCACATTCGAGCGGGATTTCATGAACCATTTCGATTATGTTCACCCCGAACAAGCACTCTATATGATCAAGGATCGAGTCCAGAAACCACTCGAATCCATTACCGAGTATCGGAACAGATTTCATCGAATGTTTGTAAAAACAGAGCGGGGCGAGCAGGTAGGTCGGGACCTGTTCATTGATGGAGTACGTAACATAACGATTTTGGGGAAGCTACGCAAAAACATCTCTCCCATTAACCACACGCTGCAACAAATTATGGACGCTGCCAAAGAAATGGAGCGGAAGTTCGCAACTAGCTTCTTAGAAAATGAGGATTATGGTAGAGAAGGAGATTCGTCCGAACTTGTGAAAGCAAGGGCGGAACTGGCCGCCCTGCAAAACAAATTCGAAAACATGGGATTTGTAGTCGGACCCGTCATGTATGTAGAACAGGTGACATTGAGGACCACACCATGTGGAGCGACTGTAAACAGGCAGATCCCGGTAATGGCGTCCCCAACCGTAACTCAGCCACCTCCACCGCCACCCACCATCGAGTCATCCGCAAAAACGAATGAGTCTACTGCTATCTTGGAGCTAACTAAGACATTGGTTAGTCTAATCCAAGAAAGCAAGAAGGAACAGCGAGAGCACAACGCCCGATTAGAAGCTATGATGTGGAATATGCGACCCATTGAGGTGCGAGCACCAATGCAGGGAGGCATGGCTGCTGCACAAGTTGCAGCTGGGCCAGTGGCAAATGCCTGTTTTACATGTCATCAACCGGGACACTTGGCCCGAGATTGCCCTCATCGTGCCATGCATCCTCGAACTGGGGTCGCGCCCTCAGCTGCAGCTCCCATAGCTAACGGCCCATGACATGTAGGAGTCGTGATGGATGATCAGGGGGGGAGTAATGGAATGATGATTTCTAGTGAGGAAGCAGCCGAGCTTATCCCACTGGAGCAGTATGTATCACTAGGATACCCGGGGCTGGGAATGATTGGGACGATTCGACCGGAACTCGAGTCTAGAGATGTCGCCGAATGGAGGCCTTCGTCGAGCGAAATGGAGACGGGAGGCCCTACCTTTGTTACCGGGGAAATCGATGTCCTCGAGGTTACCCGAGCACTGGATCATCGAATCCCTCTCCCAATCGGCCACCTACTCTCCATTTCGGAATAGGCGAACGAAAGTATGATGCAACATTGCAAAGCGAACCGGAAGCGATTCGCCCTTGCACACGCAGAAGATCAGAAGGCGAAGGCGCCGACTTCGGAGGAAAAGGCGGACGTCGCCCCTGACCCCATCTGAGTCGGATTGATACAGAAAGATGACCACTTTCTTCGGATCAAGCCGATTCCATGGAAGTCAGCCGAATGTGATATTGAAGTCTGGGGAGTGCCGTATAGTGCGATCATAGATTCGGGAGCGGCTGTCCTAGCGATATCACTCCGACTAGTCGAGAGAGCGGGTAGGAAGAATGATTTGATTACGCTAACCGAGAAGGACCAGCTCCTATCGGCTGACGAGGAGAAGATCAAGACAATAGAGCGAATGACGAATGTCGCGTTCCAATTGGGAAAAGTGCATGCTTTAGGAGATGTTGTGGTGCTGGATGTGAATACATATGACGTTCTTTTCGGGCTTCCTGCATTGGTGGCGCTGCGTGCTTATTTTGACTTCGAACGCCGATCCGTCATTCTCCGGAATACCGGGGGAAAGCCGTATGTAATACCCACGAGACTAACTCTTCAAACGTCGGTTAAGGTAGTACCCCGAATTTCTCCAGAAACAAGGGGAGCACTCCGCATGGTCTCCTGGAGTGCACCTGTGGACGGAGGACAATCATCGAACGACGTGGGGAGTGACGACGATGACGATCCAGTCGTTACACGGTTAGTACGGCAGCGGATTCACTACCCGCCGCCTCGCACTATTGCGCGTACCATGCACCTAACCGCACGGAATGCTCATATGATGATCATGGGAGAACCCCTCGTATAGATTTCGAGGCTGGTTTATTCCTTGGAACCCCCTCGGACCCTGTACGAAGGCGTATCTCCCCTCCTCCTTCGGTATAGTGACAAACCTTTTGTGATCCCACTGGCTAACCTCGATCCCTGCTTCAGCCCGCAAAAGAGGTTCAGTTGTTGCGTTTGGGAGTCGAAGCAGGTTCTTTGGAACCCCCTCAGCGCATCGAGGCAAGATCCGAGGAACTCGGGATCAAAATCTCGCCCAAAAGCGTGCCCTGGCGAGACATCTGCGATGGGATAACCCCCGAAGGTCATACAGCGATCAGGGAAGAGGAAGCACAGATGGTGGCCACTGTGTTTTCTTGGAGATCGGATCACTCTTTTATATCCGCACCGCCTGACACTACTCGGCGTATACACACGAAGAAGGTTAACGTTCAGATCTTGGATCAAATGTATGAATTGCATGTGCCCCATTATGTACCTGATGAGATCCATCGGCTGATCACTGATATTTTAATACAATGTCAAGGGGCGATTAGCGTGTCCGATGTCGATATTGGGTTATCTGTGGTGGTTCAGCATGAGATTCACACCGAGAATCATTCCCCGATCCACTGCGAGCCGTACCGATACTCGTTGACAGCGCGCAAGACGGCCTTGCAGCGAATCAGGGAATTTGAGGCAAACGGATGGATTGAGCCTGCCACCGGTCCCTGGTCGTTCCCAGTTGTATTGGTTCCTAAAAAGAATGGGCCAGTCCGCATATGCATCGATTATCGAAAGTTAAATGATATCACGATTAAAGATGTGTATCCCCTTCCCCGGATTGATGATCTGCTTGATGCGATCGGGTGTGCCAACTACTTCAGCAAGTTCGACATTCGGTATGGGTTTCATCATATCTTGGTGAAGGAAGAAAATCGGCCCAAGACCGCCTTCATTTTGTTTGAAGGCACGTGGCAGTGGGTTCGGTGCCCGATGGGAATCTGCAATGCGCCTGCCACGTTTCAGAGGGCGATGAACGTGACTTTTCAGAATTTTGTCAATAAGACATGGCTGACTCAGGGGATGATTAACTTCTGCGTCATCGTGTACATGGATGACATTCTGGTGTACTCGGACACGTTTGACGGACACGCGCAGCACATCGAATGGATGTTGGGTGCGTTGAGAGACGCAGGTTTCAAGATTGCGCTGGAAAAGAGCGAGTTCTTCCTCCCGGAAATCTCGTTCTTGGGGTATGTGGTGACACAAGGGGGCCTGCAGCCGGACTCTCGAAAAGTCGCAGCGGTCAAAGAGGCCCCGGTTCCGACCTCACTGACGCAGGTTCGAGCCTTCTTGGGCCTGGCCTCGTATTATCGGCGGTTCATCAAGGGGTTCGCGGCTATAGCAAGGCCTCTGACAAACCTCCTGCGAAAAGAACAACCCCTTCATTGGGATGACGAGTGCGACCAGGCCTTCGGGGCCCTGAAGGATGCTCTCGTCACGGCCCCGATTCTAATTCGACCGGACCTCTCTCAACAGTTTATGCTCATCACCGACTGGCAGCCGGAGGCTATCTCGGCCATTCTGGCACAGAAGGGAAACGATGGGAAGGAGCATGTCATTGAGTACGCTTCCCGGACGGTGCCAGACGAGCGACGAAACGACTCCGCGCCACAAGGAGAATGCTATGCGGTAGTGTGGGGTATCCAACACTTCCATCCGTATTTGTACGGTCAAAAGTTTCTGCTCGTCACCGACCATGAACCTCTGTTGGCTATGAAAAAGCTAACCAACTACACGGGCATGATCGGACGATGGGCAGCGCTGTTGCAAGAGTATGAGTTTGACATTGTTCATCGAAAAACGGAGAGACACAGCAACGCCGACGGACTGACACGTTTGCACCGACCCGGTAAAGTACCAAAGGCGGAAAAAATCACACCATGGAAGGACCCGGACATCAATAATGGTCCAAAGTACGAAGAAGTTGTGGTTATTCCACGTGGTAGGAAGCCGGTGAAGGGCAATGGGTGACGGAGGTAATGTCCAGATTCTATCTCTTTCTTCCCCATCCTCTTCTTTCGCCTCTCTTCCTGACAAATTTTGCTATTTCTGCGAGGCAATCTCTCGAGTCTATTTTGTCCACATGTGTCCTAAAGGGAGGGGATATGTTGAATGGGTAGACAGTCGGAAATGTGTCGCACGTGCTCATGGTGCGTGCATACAGTATCGGAGTAGTGATAGACCCTGGTTCTATCCCTTATGTCGTAATAACAAGATTCCGACGGAAGCCCGATTCCTCGATGCCACGTCGGAAGGCCCCTACAAAATTCAGAAATTCAGAAGAGCGGAAGTCTGGACAGATGTCACCTTGATAGCCACTGTGGTAGGGAACTCCCTCGAAACCTTCTCCAAGGAGGATCGGAGGAGGGCCAATGAAAGAGCACGGGATTACCGATGGGTGGACGGACGGTTAGAAAAGCATAAAACAGACGGCAATGGGGCATGGTTAGTAATTCCGCACCCGTTTATGCGGTACGAATGGGTACGAACAGCCCACGAGGAGACGGCGGCACATTTTGCCGTGCGTATTACCGAAGCTGCGATTGACAGAAATCAATGGTACTGGTCCAATATCCGGGACGACGTTAAATTCATCGTCCAACACTGCTAGGTCTGCGCTGCTGACAAGGCCCCAACCCAACCGCCTAGGTCGATAGTCCCAACTGTGGTTGAACAGCCGTTTCAGAGGGTTAGTATGGATACTACTGATATAGTGGTGCCCCCAGCACCGAATAGTTGCGACTATTCAATTCTGCTGGTTTTCGTCGACCACTTTTCTAAGTGGATCGAGGCCTACCCTTGCAAGACACGACAAGCCGCGGAAATCGCGCGGTACGTCAACTGTTTTCTAGGCATGCACCAGAACACCGAAGAGATCCCGACCGACAATGGGGTCGAATTTAGAGGAGAAGTCGAGAGGAACCTGGTCATACACGGCGTCTCCACACGACACACGGCCCCGCACATGTCCCAGTCTAATGGATTAGTGGAAAACGTGAATAGGGTGATAAAGACAGCCTTGAGGCGGAATATTGCGGCACGTGACCCCCGACCCTGGCCTGATATCGTCGACCACATCTTGGCGGTCCATCGCGGAACGCCCCACGAATCGACGGGCCTAAGCCCCTTCCAGTTACGGACCAATAGTGTCGCGTGTGTGTCGATACTGAGCCTCCCAGACGAATCGGGACTCAACCGACACCCCACAAGGGCCACCGCTCGGGACAAAGCCAAAAGACACCTGGAACTCATGGAGCGGTCCTTACCTAGACTAGCCCAGAAGCGACAACGGTCCACCGAATTGGCCCATGGCCGACAGGTCCGGAGTTACGAGGCCCGGAACGAGAATGCGGGTCCCAGGACCCAGTATAAGTTAGGGGACATCGTCCAGGTAAGGAAATGTGCGCGCGAGGGTAAACTAGCGCCACGATTCTTCGAACAATATCTAGTGATTGAACTCGGACCTAACGGCGTGGACACCGTGCGCCTCGCTCCCGAGGTTTCCGGCAGTCGATCGGCTCGCCCGATCACATGCGACGTGTCCTATCTCCGTCTTCTTCCCTCTGTTCCGTCTCCTTCTCCATCAACCTCTTCCAACGACGACTCTATCTCCTTTGCATCTCCTTCTCCTTCTCAATCCCTGTCGGATACACCGTCACCCTCGCCGTCGCCATGAGCTTTATGGAGGAGAGAGCTCTAAGTCAAGAAGCGCTCGTAGCACGTGGGAATTTGACAGTGCGGCAGGTGCATCATCCTCGTCTTAGTCCGGACCTTCAGCGCTTGCGCATTCTTCTGCTCGAAGGGCGTCTACGCGGCAACAGAGATCCACGTCGACGGGAGGGCTGACGCGATCATATTGGCCGAAGCTGTCGGGTTGCAACAACGAGCATCTGCGGTCGTCGGCCGGATAACGTTGGTGGTTAATTTCAGTGGAGATCTCACGGCGATCCCCCCCTGCCGACACACGAGAACCAAGGCGGCGTTGCTTCTGTGGGTGCACAATCTACAGAACGAGTGGACCCAGCTCCTGGCGCACCAAGGGGACGTGATCACACCAATCCGAGCGATCGAATACAACGGCCTTCGGCTGGATCGGCGTGACCCGCCGACGCAATTACCCCCTCTCATCCCCTTCCATCCCCGATGAGCTCCTTCCCGATCTCTAGTTTCGAGCTTCCTTCTTCCTTCCCCACCTTTTGGCAGTCTGATCTTCATCCCCGCCTCTCCTTCTGCATAAATCCTCTGGTTGTTCCCCTCCTCGATCCCTCTCAGTGGGACGCATGGCGCAGAGACCTCATCGAACTCTCACTCTGTTTGGCGGAAGTACGGGTGGCGTGGACGAGGGACGAGAGAAATTATCCGCGGTCAGAGCGATTGGAGCTCCTTTTGATTCAGGCGTGGCGGACGGAAGTAGAGGGGGACCTTCTCCGTTTTCTATTCGGGGCAGTGCGTCCAGGCTGTCGGAGGCTTCTCAACTAGGAGCTTACGGTCCCAATTGCGCAGCTGGCCGACGATCTTGACGTCAGCATTGTCTCCCAGGTTGACCCGCGCTTGGTGCCCCACGTCACCTCGCGCACGCTGTCACCGTATCTTCAGTGGTGAGCTTGTGTGGAGGGCTTCCCATCGAGAATCCCGCCTTCACGGCTGGATTATTTTGGTCCGTGCGACATCGTGGATCCCGCTTTCTACAGACCGCCGTACGAGGACGAATTGGAGGAGATAATCCCCGAGGTGCTCGTAGAAGAAAGTTCGGAGGAAGTAGAGGAGAGTCTGATTGAAGACGAAGGGGAGCCGACACAGCAGCGAGAAGGAGACGAAGACGAGCTCCTGCAAACAGAGAGCGAGGAGGAAGCAGAAGAAGAAGACAACGAGCAAGGGAGCGGTGATGACAACGACGAGGAGCACGCTGACGAGGATCCCCAGCTAGAAATTGCGCCGGTTGCTGATCTTCCGATCAGCAACGATCCAACGCTCCACTTGGAGCCACCTCGGCCAGACGACGGCCATGTGGCCCAGATGGTTGGGCCGTCCACTCGCCGGCCTCCTTCCCCACCGCGACGCCAACGACGAAGCAGCTCCCCTCCGCCTCCCTCTCCCTCGCAACCCGTCCCGCACTTCGAGCACGTCGGGATGAGGCCGATTGGTCTTCGTCCTCGGGCTCTCTCTCTCCGCCCCCATGACTTCCTCACCCTACGCCAGCTCACCCGGCCCGCCGTCTTCCCCCACAATCCCTTCCCCCACGACACTTCCCGTCACTACTTCTCCATCCGTCTCTCTTTCACAGTCCATCCCCACTCATTCTCCCGACGTGCTTCCCCTGAGTTCCCTCTCCAAGTACTTCTTTTCAGCGTTGGATGGCGTCGTATCAACGCCGTAGAGGTTTATTGCCTCATCACGGGGTTAATCCCCGCATGCGCCGACCGCGATCGCTTTCGCGTGGCGCTTCTTAGAACCTTCACCACTCTCTATCCCGACTACCTCGCTTCTCTCCCCACTACTGGCCGCCGATTTCCCCGCTTCCATAGAATCGTCCATCATCGGAGCCTTCCGGAAACGAATGATGAGTTGGAACGCTTCTTCCCGCCTATCCCGACTCATCCCCCATCAACACCTCCGCCTGCCTATCGTCTTCCTTTCCCTCTTCCCCGCGAGTGATGACAACCAGGACACGACTGCCGCGCAGCATGACTTCCACACTTGTTCGCACGGTATGCGGCAGAGAAAGATCAACCATCCACGGCCAATCAATCAAAGATGAGCGACACGTCAGATAGCAAGCAGGAGCTTGCTTATCTTTGGAACCCCCTGGGCATCACATATGTGACGTCACATATGTGACGAACTAGCTTTTGTAATGCGTGACTTTCGGCACGAAGTGCTAAGCGGGGTCCTACATCGACTGGACGGGTTCATGGAAAAATTGCATGTGTGTCCTAGGTTTCTTCGTTGCTTCTTCGTTTCCGCACGAGCCCCTGATGATCGTTGGGGACAATTCGGGAATGCACGGGGAAAAGGGGGTGAAACTTGGTCAGATGGATGCGGAGTGCGCGCCGAGTGTGCGATTAATAAACGTTAACGTCGCTTCTTTTCTTTTGTTTCCCTTCTTTTAATTTTGTTTGTTGGACTTTTGGGCGCGTAGACATTGCGCGGGAATTTTGGTGTCTCTTTTTGAATTCCCTTTTTGAATTTTCTTTTCGAATCTTGGTCGGAGCCATACGGCCTTCGGAATTTTGATTTTCTTTTCCGACCTTTTCATAATGTCGGCAGGCTAGCTAGGAATTTAGGAATTTTGGAATTTCTGTTCTTCTTGGACGCTGCTTTGCATGTTCGCGCGCTCTTTCTTGCTGCTGCGCCAGGACCTTGATTGATTGGCGCCTTAATCCTTTTGCAATTGTAATTTTGGGCACACACTTTTGTAACTGTATCTTTCTGTTTCTTGCTCTTTATTCTTCCCGCCTTGTTTCTTCCTCTCTCCCCTCCATATCTGGGTAGCCGTGTTTGCATGTTCGGATCGATGCGTGGAGTTGGGTACGTCCCCCATGCCGCGGCCCGACCACGCAAACGTAAGCACTCCCTTTCCCCCATCTATCTACGTCCTTGTAATTCTGTGTTCTTGACGCATGCATGCACGCCTACGTTGCCACTTGTGCGCACCCTCGTACCAGTACGGATTCGTACTCTTGTACTCGTACGCTAGGGGCCCCATACGATTTTTTTTTTTTTTAATCCGGAATTGGTTTTATTTTTTTTCTCAAATTCTATTAAAAATCTGAAGATGATGCTCTGCCAAATGTTGCTTGTTTTGTGTCGTTGCATCAGATAGTATTTTTTTGGATTTTTTTGATGACGGTTTTTTTTTTTTTTTTTTTTTTTTGCTTTTTTGTGCGGGGGCGTACAAAACGTAATGGTTCCCGTACACGTTCCCGTACAAATCCTGTACAGAAATAACCTGTACGTTTCATACAGGAAGCCCCCGTACGTGTACTCTATGCAACGTAGATGCACACTATAAATTTCGGCTGCACGATTAACTTGCTCTCTTAACACTTGCCGGAAGCTTGGGGTTGCGCGATCGAGAGGGTGGGCACACGAGCGAAGTAAGAGGTGAGTGAAGCGGGAGTCGGGCGACCCGACGAGCTGGTGACGAATGCGCGGGGTTGATGCGGGCCACGACGGACTGCGGGCGCGGAGCGAACCTGACGGGCGCAGGAGGACCAAGCGGGGTGACGGCTTCGTGTGTTGATGCGCGACGACGGACTGTCGGCATCAGAGAGAGAAAGAGAGAGAGGAGAGATTTGAGGTTGAGGATGGACATGGATTTGCGCGCTTCTTTTCGTTCTCTTTTTTATCTGTGCATATAAATTTAAGTGTCGATTAGGGGCAATTCGCCCTTGTCTTTGCGGCCATATACTCGTCCTGTTGTTCGATTTGGTTCTTCATCGATGTTTTCTCCTTTTTCTTTCCTTTTCAGGAATCCTCTTTTGCAAATGATGTATGGATGATTCGCGCACCCTCGCCTTTCGTTTTTTATCGTTTCCTGCGAACCCTCGTACATGGTGAATGAAAATGGGGATTGCATGTTGGCGTGATCAACAGAGTGTGTTGGCTTGTCGTACCTTACGGGGAGTCTGGAGCGCACCATCCGACGTACCATATGGGCACATGCAAGTGCGATCCGGACGGAGTGCGGCTTACATGTGTCCATACCACTCGGACTCGCCAATCGCGTCTTGGCTAACGCACGTAGCCGGCCCCTCGCTGAAGTAGGAGTCGATATCAATCGAGATCGGGTTACCCATCACGCGTAAGTGCGCGTAAGTGCGACTTGTTTGCATCTCTCTTACGCACTTACAAGCGGTGATCTCCCCGATTAACTTATCCCCCAAGGCATGAGTGATGAAAGAATGACGAGCTCGCGGAGTTCCGACGTATCTTGGAATTCCGAGGATTACGAGTCGTATTAAGGGTACCGGGAAATCTGGGAAGAAGAGCAACTCCGATTACGGGGAAGTTTGAGGAACCCGGTGTTCCCCTGCCTCACTGAAAACGATAGATTCTGCGCTAGGGAATTCCATCTCGCCGTACGAAGTGACCCGCGGGGACCCGACTACCCAAACACGTACAACACGCAGTATTTCATAACCCCCGGCTTCGTCCTTATCACCACTAATTTCCCACCATACCACCTCCTCCTCCCCTATCATCAGCTTACAGTAGTACCGTGGAATTCCATAGCACCTTATTGGCCCTCYACCCCGTGCAGAAGYTGCAGGCGGCGTGCCCATACCYGAACSCCYGAAGCCTCGGCACCTCGGCATAGTCCCCACCAGCYCACGCCACGTGGCGGGCCCCGAAGGCGTAGGCTCCAAGGACCGCYTCRACAGGCTCCCTAGAACTGGCGATCGCGTCAGGATCGGACGGCCYCGCACAACCAGCGTGCAAGCCCGCGCCCGTAAATTTCCCCATTGCTCTATTGCATCTATGCCCCTGAACCTTGCCCCTGGAGATCTCAGTTCCGACCTGGGACTCCACCCTCACTTTCCAAAAATCCTTCGGCACACCCCTTTTCACACTTCCAGGCCCATATCCCACTCCGATCAGGAAGGCGCGCCGGGCGTGAGGTTTTAGGCGTCACAAACCCATGTGAAACCCAGAACCAACATACACCACCATGAAGAACCCTTGGGTGGTGATCAGGCAGTGTCTGTAATAGTACCATGCGTCAGCCCAAGGGAGTGTATGTCCAGCCGTGCGTCAATCTTATGCCCTGCCGGTGTCCATGCGCAAGGTTGCAATTGAACCCGCAACCTCATACCACAAATGCGCATTTGCAACCAGTGCTCTAACCACTTCAACATCTGTAACTCTTTCAGATTCTCAACTCCCCAACCACCGTAGGTCTACCTGCTTGGAGACCTTATACTTGAGACATACATCTCTTTTGGGAATCGTGACGGTTTCCGCCGTGAGTGTGAGGGTGGCTACACCTCCCTGAGAGAATTGTTCCTTAATAAATTTAGTTACTTCTGATTGGATTTGAAACTCCCTGCCTTTTCCCCTGTAAAGGTGGACAAGGAAAGAAAGGATGATTTTGTGCCTTGTAAAGGAATAGAGAGGAGTGGAGCATCCAACGGCCTACCTCAGTTGGTAAGGCATGCAAGTGGCATTCAAGAGGTCTTGGGTTCAATTCCATAATTTGGCCTAATGTACCTTCCTGGGCAAGCTTGGCGCCCGCCACCTAGAGATATGCCGTTGCTCCTCCTGAGTGGCATTGAGTAGAGACTACTGATGCTCATAGGGGGAGGGGACCGAAGGGGAGGCACAGTGACTGGCCCATCGAAGAAGCTCGGTCCTGATGCTACCGGCTGACCCCTGGTCGGTATCGCTCACCTGCTGGTGGGTGCAGCTCCAGCATGTTCCCTCATTGGAGGCTTGAGCACGGATGTGGCTGCTACAGGGTGCCCCATAATACTATAATGACAATAAAAAAAGGCCTGAAAGGCGTCCTGTCCAGATTCGACAGGTAATTGAATTGGTTGGGCTTAAAAGAATTAGCCATCACCCACTTTATGTCCATTTCATGCTTCTGACAGCTTTCGACCCACTCTACAATGTTTTTGCGGGGAGGCCCTTACCCCTTTTTTTTCATTGGGAGGGGCCCTTGCCCTCAGTCCACTCTTGACCGACTCTTGATTTTTTGGTGGATTCGAGAGTAGTGGAAGGAGGCAGAATGTGAATGGGGCCTCCCTTCGTTGGCTTAATCCTCATCATGGTCCTTCGACTCCCACAACAAATCAGTGCCTAAAACGACGTCTTCAACAGCATCATAACCAAAGTCTTCATACCTAAGATCAATCGTGCATCAGCACGTTGATCAAGCTCCATACCCGGTATAAAAGCATCATCCCGCAGACACACCACACCCACACACCAACGCACTCTCAACTCAGCACACCAGCAGAACCACGCCTAACCCAACAGCCAGGAGCGGTACGGGCGGATGAGACCAGCCGAGCATGGCGACTCAACCGTGGCGGCGGCCGCCGCCGGACCCAGCCCGCAGCGTCGCCTCCTTGCCTCACCCAAGCAGCTTCGGGCTTTGGCGCTATGCCACCTCACAACACTCTCCTGGGGTCCCCCCAAACGAGAAAAAAAGTGCCGCAGGTCCCAATATCACTTTTGGGGCCATTTTTGCACCCTGACTGGGCCAGTAACGGCCGCTGTGTAAAAATGGCGGGAAGTGTTTTGCAGGGTGCAAAATTGACGCGAAAGTGTTTCGCACCTGCGGCACTTTTTCTCTCGTTTGGGGGGAAATGGATACAAAGGTTTCGTCGCCGGGAGGTTTTATGACATTTCCCAAAAATAAATAGGGCATTTGCGTTCCCCTCCAGAGGTGACCGCAAATTCCCTTGCCCCGCTCACAATTGGGCAGACGAATAGTACATTTAGCCTGATATAGGACTTCGGCAAATCTGTGTTACCGGCCCTCTACCCTTCCTTTTGGGGAATTTGGGATCATAGGTCCCACTGTCCCAGTGTGAGTATGCCCTCACATCAGCTTGTGGGGATTCCCAGGGTTTTCCAGTCATTTCTCCCCTGTTTCTCGTCTCTCAGCGGTTCCACCTACAGGCCTCCCTTTCTACAGGCCTCCCCTCGCCCCTCCCGTCTGTCCGAATCGAGGCGATACATACCTACATAAGTAGTCATCGTTCTCACGGCCAACACCTTCGTCTGCTCGTGGCAGTTTCGCTCGCGTCGAGTGCCGAAAGTAGAAGTAATCTGTCCATATCTGTGGTTGGAAGATATAGAAATCTCCGAGTTCTCTTCCCTCTTCATCGTCTGCTTCTGCTTCGTCTGCTTCCATAGATAGCTTGGCGGTCCATGACCGCTGCGTCAGCACTGAGTTCGCCACGTTTTTGTTTTTTGTAGCAGACTGTTCGACGAGGCGATTGTTGGCTCAGGTTCTTCTTTCTTGGACGATATCTCTATAAGCATGAGTGCGTGTAGTCGTACAGCAGGCTCTTTGGAGACCTCGATTCCAATGCCAGCATCCAAGGATGGGCACAAGGACGGCGGCGAGGAGGAGCGCCTTCAGCCGGTAGAGGCGATCCTCAAGGTCGCCAACCCGGGTCCTATGGGGCTGACTGCCTTCGCTGTAACGACCTTCACTCTGTCTATGTTCAATGCCGGTATCTTGCCTAGATCCGTCGAGAAGGTCGTTGTTCCGCTGGGTTATTTCTATGGAGGGTCCGTGCAGCTGCTGGCTGGGCTCGCTGAGATTCTCAATGGGAATACATTCGGAGCCACGGCGTTCTGCTCTTACGGCTCGTTTTGGATTGCGTTCGCCTATTATGTGACATCCATCGTTCCGACCTTCGACGGGCCGGAGAAGGAGAACGTGCACGTCGCCACAGGGGTGTTTTTGTTCACCTTCACGGTGTTCACGACGTACATGGCCATCGCCTCAACTAGGACATTTCGTGCGCTCACCGTCGTCTTCGTGTGCTTGGGTCTCACCTTCTTCTTTCTCACGATCGGCGAATGGGGGGAGTCGGACGGCGCCAAGAAGACCGGAGGCTTCTTCGGGATTATCACGTCCATCCTGGCCTGGTACTGTTCCTTCGGGCTAGTCCTGCTAGACACGTGGAAGTACGAGGCCATACCTCTGATGTTCTACAAACACCGGCAGGACTGAAAAGCTGATCGCTCCCAGGTATATGACAAATGCGTCTTCTGGTGAACGCC